TTTAAATACATCATCACTTATTTCTCAGAACAATCCAGTGAAGACTTAAATGTCTGGCTCTAAAATGGGCTCCCAGCCTTGACTTAAAATACACTGAAAAACTAAAGGTGGTGGACTAAAACTTCTTCTTAGATGTATCAGTGACTCAGCAGAACAATAAGGAATGCTAAAAGGAAAGACTAAATTTAAAGTAGGAACCCACGGAGTAAGGGGAATACTCAAGCCAACGTTTGTCCAACCAGTGAATTTAAGCTTCCGGTAGCACAGCCTCAGTCAGGCTGACCCAAGTAAGGACTCTCTACATAGACCATCACATAAAACTGAAACCTTCAGGGAGAGTGTAAAAACTAACCCACTCTTCCTCTAAGGAAATGTGAGCAAAATCGTCTGCCTCTGAAATCAATGCAGAGGAAAGAAGGAGGGGAAATACCTTTTGAGAAACAATTTGTACACAATACTTTACATGGTTTGCAGCCCCAAATCATGCAAACTTGATAATTCAAAAGAACTCAAGCCTATGATTTAATTTAAAGGAATCTTCAAGTGGTATTGCCTCCCTATGCTTGGCAAAAACATGCAAATTTACTGTGGAGAGTCAGAACTCATTTCGGGTTTCAAAGGACTTACACACATAATAACGCAAGAAAAATAAATTTATAGTCATAAATCTCAAAGCACTAGTGAGGTACCACAAGTGAAAGCCAGCAACAAAACAAAACAAATAGCAGAATCAGATCCACAAAAAATCCTAAGTATTGTCATAGCTTTATGGTTGTCTACTAATATCCACTCTCCATCTTTGACAATAGAATTCTTAAGTTTTAGTTGAGCACATGTCCACCCAGCAAAGGACTATATTTCCCAGACTCTCTTGCAGCTTACTGTAGCTGTGTGACTATATACCATTATATTAGATAATAGTGTATATATATATATATATATATATATATATATATGCCTTATTTAACTTATATGCAGAATCCATCATGTGAAATGCCAGGCTGGATGAAGCACAAGCTGGAATCAAGATTGCCAGGAGAAATATCAATAACCTCAGACATGCAGATGACACCACCCTTATGGCAGAAAGTGAAGAGGAACTAAAGAGCTCTTGATTAAAGTGAAAGAGGAGAGTGAAGAAGCTGGCTTACAACTCAACATTCAGAAAACTAAGATCATGGCATCTGGTCCCATCACTTCATGGCAAATAGATGGGGAAACAATGGAAACAGTGACAGACTTTATTTCCTTGGGCTCCAAAATCAATGAAAGATAGTGACTGCAGCCATGAAATTAAAAAACATTTTTGAAATCAAGTGGGCCCTTGGGAAGCATCACTATGAACAAAGCTAGTGGAGGTGATAGAATTCCAATTGAGCTATTTCAAATCCTAAAAATGATGCTGTTAAAGCGCTGCACTCAATATGTCAGCAAATTTGGAAAACTCAGTGGTGGCCACAGGACTGGAAAAGGTCAGTTTTCCTTTCAATCCCAAAAAAAGGCAATGCCAAAGAATGTTCACACTATTGCACAATTGCACTCATCTCACACGCTAGCAAAGTAAAGCTCAAAATTCTCCAAGCCAGGCTTCAACAGTTTATGAATGGTGAGTTCAAGTTGGATTTAGAAAAGGCAGAGGAATCAGAGATCAAATTGCCAACATCCACTGGGTAATCGAAAAACCAAGAGAATTCCAGAAAAACATCTACTTCTGCTTTATTGACTATGCCAAAGCCTTTGTGTAGATCGCAATAAACTGTGGAAAATTCAAGACATAGGAATACCAGACCACCTTACCTGCCTCCTGAGAAATCTGTATGCAGGTCAAGAAACAACAGTTAGAACCAGACATGGAAAAACAGACTGGTTCCAAATTGGGAAAGAAGCACGTCAAGGCTGTATATTGTCACCCTGCTTATTTAACTTATATGCAGAGTACATCATGTGAAATGCCTGGCTGGATGAAGCACAAGCTGGGATCAAGATTCCTGGGAGAAATATCAATAACCTCAGATATACAGATGATACCACCCTTATGGCAGAAAGTGAAGAGGAACTAAAGAGCTCTTGATGAAAGTGAAAGAGGAGAGTGAAGAAGCTGGCTTACAACTCAACATTCAGAAAATTAAGATCATGGCATCCAGTCCCATCACTTCATGGCAAATGGATGGGGAAACAATGGAAACAGTGACAGACTTTATTTTCTTGGGCTCCCAAATCACTGCAGATGGTGACTGCAGCCATGAAATTAAAAGCCACTTGCTCCTTGGAAGAAAAGCTATGACCAACCTAGACAGCATATTAAAAAGCAGAGACCTTACTTTGCCAAAAAAGGCCCATCTAGTCCAAGCTATGGTTTTTCCCATTGTCATGTATGGGTGTGAGATTTGGACTATAAAGAAAGCTGAGCGCCAAAGAACTGATGCTTTTGAACTGTGGTGTTGGAGAAGAGTCTTGAAGAGTCCCTTGGCCTGCAAGGAGATCCAACCAGTCAATCCTAAAGGAAATCAGTCCTGAATATTCATTGGAAGCACTGATGCTGAAGCTGAAACTCCAATAGTTTGTCCACCTGATGCAAAGAACTGACTCATTTGAAAAAACCCTGATGCTGGGAAAGATTGAAGGCAGGAGGAGAAGGGGATGACAGAGGATGAGATGGTTGGATGGCATCACTGACATGATGGATATGAGTTTGAGCAAACTCTTGGGCTGGTGATGGACAGGAAGCCTGGTGTGCTGCAGTCCATGGGGTCACAAAGCATTGGACATGACTGAGTGACTGAACTGACGTGCTCCTTGGAAGAAAAGCTATGACAAACGTAGACAGTGTATTAAAAAGCAGACACATTACTTTGCCAACAAAGGTCAACTGTGTGACTATATTCTTATGGTGTGTAAGCAATAATCTCTTGTGAAGTTAAAAAAAAACAAACAATATAGATTTAACATACTTGATAATGTAAGAGTATGAGTTGGGAGACATAATAAGATGTAATAAGAATGAAAGTGTTCCAAGGTCCTTATATTGTTTGAAGGAGCATAAAGATATTAATTACATTTAGACTGATAAGTATGCATGTCTTTTAGGAAAACTCTAAAAGGTGAAATCTGGAATTGAATTCACGACCTCCTCCTCCAAATAATTCTAGAGGGAAGAAGTTTTCTTTCTTAGAGTGCTATTGGCTTTCTGGCCACAGGACAGGATTACTGGGGGTCCAGAAACCCACCTATCCCTGACTGGCACCTCACACCTCAGCCTCAGAAACCATCCAGGTGTGCATGCAAGCCTTTCCCAGCACACTCTTCCCTTCTGACTCTCAGACTCAATTATTCCAAGCACCTTCATGTTTCCCGCCACCTCCTGCTTGCCAGCTTCTTTGTAGCAGATCTGACATGTTAAAGATGCCCGTTCACCTATAAATAAACTACCCGAGATGTCCCCTCTTCCATGAAGCTTCTCCTCACTGACAGGGAATGGAGACAGTTGACTTTGATCTTGCGGACAGCCCTGGAACTCCCATCAACCTCACCCCCTTGCCCTGGCCCCAAGAAGTCTTCTCCATGAACTCCTCAAACCCTCCACTCATTTGCATCGCTTCAGTCATGCTCATTTAGCCAACTGCATGTCCTTTCTCCTGCTGGATCTGCGTCCACACCCAGCTCGAAGTTCCTAAGGAACCTGGACCATGTATCTCCCTGCCCCAACAGAGCTGAGGTCTCCTGATGTGGTTCCCATGCTATACCCTCCTGGGAGATGCTTCATTAAGGCTGATGAGAAGGAACATTTGAAGGGTCCCAGGGAGGAAAAGCTCCCGTGAATTACTCTGAAGACAAACAAGAAGGGAACCCCTATGGTTCAAAAGGCGGCCCTTGGGGGTGGGGAGGGAAAGATTGGGAGTTTGGGATTAGCAGATAGAAACTATTCTACATAGGATGGATAAAGAACAAGGTCTTACTGTATAGGCCAAGAAACTATATTAAATCATAGAGAAAAAGAGTATGAAAAAGAATCTATATATCTGTGTAACTGAATCACTTTACAGCAGAAATTAACACAACATTGTAAGTCAACTATACTTCAATAAAATTTTTAAAAGGGAGGGCCTATATCACCCCTTCACCTGCTATGAATATGACAAGTAGTTTGTTCCTGCATATTCAACAGTCTCTCCCACCCTCATCCCCCATGCCTTAGAGACCCCAAAGATAACTACATTGCCCATGGGTCTCTCTTTCCCTGTTCAGTCATTTTGCATTGTTGAGTGCCTACTGCATACTCAGCAATGCACCATCTGTCTTCTGCCTGTATCCCAGGAGCCCAGATCCCTAGTTACTACTCTCTTTGAAGTCTCATATTTTTTTGATTCGGAGATGTGGGGTCCTGCCCCTTCAGCTCAGTCTGTTAGGGTTTCTTTCATGCTAAAACAAACACACAGCACTTCGCGACTAGGATACAAAGTCGTGAACTGGAACAGGTTTCTGACCCCGTTTTTGCCTCAAGGGTGGGTCCCTTCCACTCTGACAATCTTGATTTCCTTATCCAATCCTACTTCCTGCTCAAACCCAGCCCAATGCCCTGCCTACTGTGATCATATCATTCTCCTTTCTCACCTTCCTCTTGACCCCCCAGTCTATTCCTTCCCAGACTCAGTATTGTTTTGTTACTTGCTCATAGTTGGTTGAAAAACAGGTCGATTTCCCAACTCCTCCCCAACCTATTTGAAGCTATAAAGGCCCCTGCAGCTTATCCATGATAAAGAAAGAGGCAACAACATCATGCGAAGAAAGCTTAAGTAGCCTAGGCATCTCATCTCCCACCACTCAAGCTCAAGATTCTTTCCAAGAACATATATTTAGAAGAACTAAGCTCTTGGAAGCTCCAGCCTTTATCTCTTCACCTTGAACTCTCCTTTCTCAAGATACTATTTTTTGCCTTCTAGGTCTTGGCCATATCTGGGATCCAAGCACCTTGTTTACCAGCCAGGAAGAGGAAGATCAAGATGCAGAAAAGAAACATTCGCCTTAAGTATTGCTTACTGTTGCATCTCCTACTATTACAACATGGTGAGTGCTTTTCTTTAAAGGTGGGTGGTCTGTGAAGTTTTGAGAGATTATGGGAGATGATGATCACCATTAGGAACAGCTCTGGTTTTCCTCCATAGACTGAGGGTCATTTCACTCTAGTCACTTCAGTCTAATAAGGTAGCACCTAGGAGGCAGTCAAGCACAGTGCTTAGAACTGTGGACTTCGGTGTCCAGTTGTCAGTGTTTGAATCATGGCTCCATCTGTTATCTACGCACTTTAGGTTAGTTAGCTGCTCTGTGCCTCAGTTTATGCATCTATAAAATGGCAATAATCCATGAGATATGGCTAGAGGGCTAAATATTATTAACAAGAAGAATTGACTTATTTAAAAATATCCCTCTTCTATATTCTATAGACTTAATTTTTCTCCTGTCCTTAACCCTGATTCCCCAGTCAGCCTAAGTCAGCCTCAGACCAAGGAGAAAAGGATTTAAGAGTCAAAACTAACTCCTACTCTGTTCCACACTTCTGACACTCTATTAAACACTCCTTGGACCATCTTCTATTGTGCAACTAGGAAGCATGACTTCTTAGAGAATCCTTTAATTTTTATTTTGGCTGTGCCACATGGCTTGCAGGATCTCAGTTTCCCAAACAGGGAATGAACCTGAGCCATTTGCCAGTGAAAGTGCTGAATCCTAACCACTAGACATCAGGGAACTCCCTGAGAATTCATCATTTTGAATCAAAATTAGCCCTCGTAGAATTTTGACGCATCTATTCTGTTCTTCAAAACTTCTCAGATCAAAGCCATTTCCTCTTTTACATGTCACCCCTACTCTTGTTTATCTCAGTTTCTTTTTTAAAATTATACCTTATGTATGTATTTGTTTTTGGCTGTGCTGGGTCTTCCTTGCTGTGAGCGGGCTTTCTCTAGTTACAGCAAGTGAGGGCTACTCTCTAGTTGCTGTGCTCAGAATTCTCATTGTGGTAGCTTCTCTTGCTGCGGCTTGAGGGCTCTGGAGTATGCAGGCTTCAGAAGTTGCGGTACATGGGCTTAGTTGTGGTAAGTGGGCTTAGTTGCCCTGTGGCACCTGGAATCATTGCAGACCAGGAATCGAACCTGTGCCCCTACATTGGCAGGCACACTCTCAACCACTGGACCACAAGGAAGTGCTCATCTCAGTTTCTTATTTAGTTTTACTCATGATTCTGATCTTAACTCCAATTTGTACTCCATTGCAGACTTCAGGGGGGAGCAGGGCTTTCCCCAAAGAGAGCTAAGTTCTAATCGTATATTATATAGCTCAGTACGTAAAATGTCTACCTGCAGTGCAGGAGACCTGGGTTCAATTCCTGGGTTGGGAAGTTCCCCTGGAGAAGGAAATGGCAACCCACTCCAGTATGCTTGCTGGAGAATCCCATGGACAGAGGAGCCTGGCAGGCTACAGTTCATGGGATCCCAAGAGTCAGACACAATTTAACGCTTTCTTTCTTTCTAATCCTATGTTAGTTCAAATAAGCCTGAGGTAAAAACACACCTGTGTGGGGTGAGGTGATAGGCACTCATGTCCAAGTTAGTAGTAAAATGAACTAGAAATGAGATAAATTTTATGTGGGGAGCCTGAGTGTCTTTGTCCTTCAAGGTAGTGAGAAGCAAAAAACAGGCACAAGCTTAACTCCACTTGAGCCTTCAGGAAGGTGGAAATGCTTCCCTGTACCTGTAGATTTTGATTTGCAGACCTTAATCCTGGGAGATCTTTTATATTTCAGCTACATATAACTTGTTCTTTTCCAATCTTTGCCTTGTGATCAGGAGCTCCTGGAACTTGAATACATATATAATCACCCAGATACCTAGTCCCATCTCAGATTCTGATTCATTTAGTCTGGTGTGGTTTGCCTAGAAATCTTTATTTTCAAAAAGCTTCCCAGATAATTCTGATATAGATGATTTCTGAATAACACTCAGAAATATTTTTCAAGAAAGAAGTTATACCAATTTAAAAATGAATTAACCAATATATACATTTCCCCTGGGTTCTACAATTCCTTTATAATACTTTTTATCTGTGTTAAATATTGTACAGTAGTTGATGGAATAAGCTCATTCTCAGTGAAATTAGGTCATGTAACCCTCGTTTTAGAGGTGGATGTGGAGGATGACCTAGTTTGGTGATTAAAAATGCAGATTCAATAGCCTGGGTTCAAATTCCTGTTCTTCTACTTACTAGCTGTATAAACTTGGGCAAGTGTCGACATTTCTAAGCCTCAATTTTTTCATCTTATCTGTTGATATTAATAATATCTATTTCATTGGGCTGTAGTGAAACATTAAATAGAATTATCCAGGTAATGAATTTAACCAGGCATTGAGCAGAAGGTATAAATGCTCACTATATGTCATCATTTATAATTATCATTAGGCATAACCTCCAGTAATACTAGTACAACTATCAACATTGAATCCAGCCCAACTTCCAGTGAACCCACTACAGCCACCACTGGATCCAGTGCAACCTCCAGTGAGACTAGTATAGCCTTGAACACTGCATCCAGCACGATCCATGGTAGTCCTAGCACAGCCACTAATGCTGGATCCCAAGGGACCTTCAGTGGATCCAGCTCAACCTCCAGTACTGAATCCAGTGTGACCTCTGGAGGGTCCAGCACAACTTCTGACACTGGATCCAGCATGACCTCTGGAAGGGCCAGCACAACCTCTGACACTGGATCCGGCATGACTTCTGGAAGGGCCACCACAACCTCCAGTACTGGATCCAGCGTGACCTCTGGAGGGGCCAGCACAACCTCTGACACTGGATCCGGCATGACTTCTGGAAGGGCCACCACAACCTCCAGTACTGGATCCAGCGTGACCTCTGGAGGGGCCAGCACAACCTCTGACACTGGATCCAGCGTGACCTCTGGAAGGTCCAGCACAGCCTCTGACACTGGATCCAGCGTGACTTCTGGAGGGGCCACCACAACCTCCAGTACTGGATCCAGCATGACCTCTGGAGGGGCCACCACAACTTCCAGTACTGGATCCAGGGTGACTTCTGGAAGGACCAGCACCGCCTCTGACACTGGATCCAGCATGACCTCTGGAGGGGCCAGCACAACCTCCAGTACTGGATCCGGTGTGACCTCTGGAGGGCCCAGCACAGCCTCCAGTACTGGATCTGGTGTGACCTCTGGAGGGTCCAGCACAGCCTCTGACACTGGATCCAGCGTGACTTCTGGAGGGGCCACCACAACCTCCAGTACTGGATCCAGCGTGACCTCTGGAGGGGCCACCACAACTTCCAGTACTGGATCCAGCGTGACCTCTGGAAGGACCAGCACAGCCTCTGACACTGGATCCAGCATGACCTCTGGAGGGGCCAGCACAACCTCCAGTACTGGATCCAGCGTGACCTATGGAGGGTCCAGCACAGCCTCCAGTACTGGATCCAGTGTGACCTCTGGAGGGGCCAGCACAGCCTCCAGTACTGGATCCAGTGTGACCTCTGGAGGGGCCAGCACAACCTCCAGTACTGGATCCAGCGTGACCTCTGGAGGGTCCAGCACAGCCTCCAGTACTGGATCCAGTGTGACCTCTGGAGGGGCCAGCACAACCTCTGACACTGGATCCAGCGTGACCTCTGGAGGGTCCAGCACAATCTCCAGTACTGGATCCAGCGTGACCTCTGGAGGGGCCAGCACAACCTCTGACCCTGGATCCAGTGCAATCACAGGAGGCTCTGATACACCTTTTCCAACTGGAACACACACAACGTCTAACAAAAGTAGCACAAGTGCTGGAACTCCAGTGGAGGAAGTGAAGCCCACTGGGTCCCTGAAGCCATGGGAAATCTTCCTCATCACTCTGGTCTCAGTTGTAGTGGTCGTGGGATTCTTTGTTGGGCTCTTCTTCTGCGTGGTGAGTGCCTAATACTTAGGAAAGTGCCTGGGGGGAAGGAGTAGCAGGAACATAAGGAAATGAAGTGTGAATAGTAGGACCATCAAGTTAGGGGTGAGTAGGGAGGAAAGAAAGATCAGGAGAAAGGTTTTAAAGAGAAACAGAAAGTTAGAAACAGAGGAACCAATCAATGTGCAGAGGAAATGATTGACTTTTGGGGCAGGAGGGCAAAAGAAGAAATAAAGACTGTAAAGACTGGTGAAAGAACTACCATGTGAGGGAGATGGTTTAAAGGGGGAGAAGATTCCAGCAAGTATCCCTGGTGAAGGCTTGCTGGGGGTGGGGGACCCCATTCTGAAAGGATTCTGCCTTCTTTTTCTAGAGAAACTCCCTGTCCATGAGAAGTGTCCTTGACACAGCTGTCTACCGCCCCCATGGCCCCAACCTCGGCCGGGGCCCTGGAGGGAATCACGGAGCCCATCACAGGCCTAGGTGGAGCCCTGCCAGGCCCTGGAACAGACCCATATCCTCAGGAACCATGGAGATGAGAGAAAGTCACAGTGGGTTCTGAGTGGCTGCTGAAGCCACGGAGCCACATTCCTCAGAGAGAAAGCCAGCCTGGGGGACCAGAGATCTGAGTGTCTTTTCATTCGTCCCCAGGAGCCCCCTCCCAGCTTCATTTGGGTCTCTGCCAGGCTTGGGGAAGACACTTCCTCTTTCTCTCTTGCTTTTACTAGATGTTGGAAAGAGACTCTGTTGGTCTTTAAGCTAAGAAATAAATACATGAAATTAAATCACAGAGAGAACTTGTGTGTGCACATGAGTGGGTATCTGCTGCGCTGAGTTGAATCTCCCGGTTGTATGAGAGAACCCCATGCTGGAATCCACTTGGCATTCAGAATCTCCACGGTAAAATGTGGACACCTCATTCATACCCTTTTTCTAATCCTTTTTGCCCAAAGCAGGAACCCTACGTCTGCAAGACTCTCCCAGACTGACAGAACTGAATTGGGAGGGACGAGAAAGGAGGGCAGCTGCCAGGATCCTACAGGCTCATGGGATTCGGCCTGCGGTTCATAGAGATTACATTATAGTACATGCAAAACCCAGAGCATGACAGGCAGTTGTTTCCTGTGGGCAGGGCGGCGTCACTCAAAGTCGCAGTATCCATGCCATTTACACTTGCTCCTGACTTGGATTACTTGTCAGAGTAAAGGTGCTAGTTGATACTTTCACTCTTGAGAGTGCTGCCTTTGGAAGCAGAGAGAAAGTGCTTCCTGTTTTTATTGAGGGAAAGAATTCCTGACTTTACCAAGAGGCTCATGGCAGGAACACCTGGGGTAAAGCCAAGATTCTCATGAATTCCCCTTCCACAGGGGCTGCACATGCCCCTTTCAAGGTCTAGAATAGAAGGCTACCTGATCCTACAGGTCTTGGAAGACAGAGAAGAGCTGTGTTGAAAAAGGCTAGTGGCTCTGAATCCATGAGGCAGTAACAGGGCTTCCACCTGGGACAGAGTCCTCAGGAAAGAACTAGCAGGTTTTTGGTGGGTTCACCCCAACTCACAGCAGTGGGAACTGCTCTGCCTTCCACCACTCACTGGGTTTCTCAAGTGTCAGCAAACTAGAGAGTTGATCCTAATCAATGAGGCCATGATGAGCCATATGCAGGCCCACCACCACCACCACCACCACCACCATCCTCTTACCTAAAGGGACCCAGCAACCAGAAGGATAAACTGAGTTAACCCCCCTAGAAAGTTGCCTCCCACTGGTGTGAACTGTGGAAAATCTAATGTGAAAAAGTAAAAACAAATGAGATTGGAGAATTATTTTAAAGTAGTCCATTTAAATAATTAAAAATTACAAAACATGCATTTTCACACTTAAATTGTAATAGACAAATTTAAGGAAGTTGGCTGAGAATAAAATTAATTATCTGGAAGATCAAGTGGGAAAAGCAACTCAATTAGACACAAGAAATCAGAGATGAAAATCACCCAGAAAATAGAAGACATTTAGAGGATTGATTCAGGAGGACTAACACATGAGTAGTAAAGTTCAAAATAGAGGAAAAAAGGAAGAGATAGACCAGAGGGAGTAAAAGAACAAGAGGGAAGAAAGAATTTAGTCTGCAATTAGAAAGGGCTTATTAACGACTGTAAATATACTAAACCCCTCAGTTCAGTTCAGTTCAGTCACTCAGTCGTTTCCAACTCTTTGCTAACCCATGGACTGCAGCCCACCAGGCTTCTCTGTCCATCACCAACTCCCGGAGTTTACTCAAACTCATGTCCATTGAGTTGGTGATGCCAGCCAACCATCTCATCCTCTGTCGTCCCCTTCTCCTCCCACCTTCAATCTTTCCCATCATCAGGGTCTTTTCAAATGAGTCAGTTCTTCGCATCAGGTGGACAAAGCATTTTCTCATGATGTACTCTGCATATAAGTTAAATAAGCAGGTGACAATATACAGCCTTGACGTACTCCTTTCCCAATTTGGAACCAGTCAGTTGTTCCATGTCTGGTTCTAACTGTTGCTTGTTGACTTGCACACAGATTTCTCAGGAGGCAAGTCAGGTGGTCTGGTAGTCCCATCTGTTTAAGAATTTTCCACAGTTTGTGGTGATTCACACAGTCAAAGGCTTTGACATAGTCATTAAAGCAGAAGTAGATATTTTTGTGGAACTCTCTTGCTTTTTTGATGATCCAACAGCTGTTGGCAATTTGATCTCTGGTTCCTCTGCCTTTTTTAAACCCAGTTGAACACCTGGAAGTTCACTGGTCACATATTTTTTAAGCCTGGCTTGGAGAATTTTGAGCATTATTTTGCTAGTGTGTGAGATGAGTACAATTGTACAGTAGTTTGAACATTCTTTGTCATTGTCTTTCTTTGGGATTGGAATGAAAACTGATCTTTTCCAGTCCTGTGGCCATCACTGAGTTTTCCAAATTTGCTGTCATATTGAGTGAAGCACTTTAACAGCATCATTTTTAGGATTTGCAATAGCTCAACTGGAATTCCATCACCTCCACTAGCTTTGTTCATAGTGATTCTTCCTAAGGCCCACTCGACTTTGCAAACCTCATTAATGTATCTATTTTAAACAGATGAACTATATGTGATATAAATTATATCTCAATAAAGCTGTAAAAATGTTACCCAGCAGGCATAACTTGTGATTAAAAATTTTGATTTCCAAAGATAAACAGCAATAGGCACTTCAAGATAGAGGGAAATGAAAAGTGAGAGCACCACAGTGAGTAACTCAGCTTGTGGTTAAATCACATAGTTACGCTGTGAACATCTCATTATTCCCAGCAACTGGAGTGTGCACGTAGGGTTAAGAAGCATCATGACTCAGGTTTCATCGTGGGATCCACTTACATGAACGAAACACATTTGAACCCGACAAAACCCCAGCTCACCCAGCAGGTTTGACCCAAGCAGCAGTCTAGGCAGTGGATGGGATTAAGCACTTTTGCACTGCTGGCCTAGCACAATGATCTTTAAATGGAGTTTGTGTACACTCTTGGAGGTATATGAAGGCTTCTAAAGAGTGTTATGCAGGAGTGGGGTGCCTTAACAGGTGGGAATCATCTTCCCAATTTTCAGCTTCTATATGGGTTTTTTTGCCTGTGGTCAAAACATCAGCTAGTTATACTTTTCTAGTTCCCCTTCTACAGCCATCCACCCTTTACCTTCCAGCCCCTATATTATTATGGTGCATTTCCCTGGGGTGCAGAAAATTCCAGCCTGCTGACTTCCCTGGTGGTCCAGTGGTTAAGAATCTGCCTGCCAATGCAAGGGATGCAGGTTGAATTCCTGGTTGGTGAACTAAGATGCCACATGTCGCAGAGCAACTAAGCCCAGGTGCCACAAGAAAAGATTCCACACGATGAAATGAAGATTCCATGTGTTGCAAGTAAGACCCAATGCAGCTAAATAAATAAATATATTTTTGAAAAGTCTATAAATAATAAATGAGGGAGAAAAGAGAACACTCCTACACTGTTGGTGGGAGTGTAAATTGGTACAGCCATAATGGAAAACAGTATGGAAGTTCCTTAAAAAACTGAAAAGAGAGTTACCATATGATCCTGCAATCCCACTCTTGGGAATATATCCAGAGAAAACTCTGATTCAAAATGATCCATGAGCCCCAATGTTTGTAGCAGCACTATTTACAATAGCCAAGACTTTGAAGAAAACTTCCATAAAATACATGGAAGATATCCACTGACAGATAAATGGATAAAGAAGATGTGGTATATATATATACAATGGACTATTGCTCAGTCATAAAAAAAGTAATGAAATATGCCATTTGTAGCAACATGGATGGATCTAGAGATTATCATATTCAGTGAAGTTAGTCAGACAGAAAAACACAAATATCATATGATAGCACTTATATGGCTTCCCAGGTGGCTCAGTGGTAAAGAATTTGCCTGCCAATGCTGGAGACCCAGGTTTGATCCCTGGATTGGGAAGATTCCCTGATTTGGGTTTTCCCTGGTAGTACAGTCGGTAAAATATCTACCTGCAATGCAGGAGACCCATGCTTTATCCCTGGATTGGGAAGATCCCCTGGAGAAGGAAATAACAAGCCACTTCAGTATTCTTGCCTGGGATATTCCATGGGGAGAGGAGACGGGTGGGCTGTAGTCCATGGGGTTACAAGAGCTGGACACAACAGAGAGACTAAACCACCATCACCAAGAGTGATGTGACAGACAGAGTACCAGACAACTAAAGACCACCCCTATTGCCCAAGCCTGCTGAAATTATTCATTAGCCAATCCTAAATATATAGAACCTAAAAATGATACAAATGAACTTATTTACCAAACAGAAATAGGCTCACAGACTTATGGTTACCAAAAAGATAGTCAGGAGGAGGGAGATATATTAGAAGTTTGAGATTAACATATGCACAGTACTATATATACAAAAAGTAAACAACAAAGGACCTCCTGTATAACACAGGGAACTATATTCAATATCTGTAATAATAATAATAATAATATAGTATAATCTATAATGGAAAAGAATCTGAAAAAGAATATGTATAATATATATTATATATATATGTATTACTGAATCAACTTGCTGTACACTTGAAACCAACACAACATTGTAAATTAACTATACTTCAATTTTAAAAAGTCCTCAAGGTAGGAGAAACTTGGAAAAGGATAAACCATTCATTTTTATACTTCTGACTTTCTAATCTAGATCTTATACAATACATTTGCTGTGATTTTCTTTGTTTACTGTTGTTAATTTCAAGTTCAGTTTCAGTAAAATAAATACCTGAAGAAAAAAAAAATGTGAGAGTTTGTGATTTTAGTCAACCAACCAGGTGGATTGTGAAATGTGAGAGGATCACTCTCTTAAAATATTCACATCTTTCTCTTTTAGAGGGATACTCTTCTGCCTCTGAGAAACACTTATTATACCCATGATTTTGGCCTGGGTCCACTGTTCTGCAGCCTTGACAATAAAGTGAGTCATGGAGGGGCCTGTGGCCTTGGCCATGAAGAAAGCTACAATGTGACCCTGAATTGAGTCACAGTCATGAAGATGATGTGAAAATGAGTCATCAAGGTTTCTACTGAAGAGGCCATGATGAAAACCACAGGCTTGGGGTCACGAACGAAACCATGGAAGAGGACACACCAGTGACAGCCACAGATCATATCTTAGTGGAGTCATTGAAGAGGGCATGGCCATAGATGCTGGGGAGTGGGAGACATTTTAAGGGAGGAAACCTTGATGGAGAAGAGGATCATGGAGGTGAAGACAAAAATTTACCATAATGAGGGAGTGAGTCATGCTGGAAGACCAGAATGCTCCCAGGAAATAGCCATAGGTTATATAGCCTGTGTCAAGGACAAGAATAAGCAAGGCCTTCCCATGTCTGACAACCAAAGTTACAGTGTTGGAGCAGAGTGTTGTTTCAGAAGAGACTCATAGTTTCATCAGGCTTAGCAATGATGTCAAGTATGTTCCCAGGGCTCTCCTCATAACTTAGAATTCTAGGATCAAGAAAGTTGCTTGACTGGGTATTGGGATGGGCACAGTAACAACTCTTATGGTCACTGCTTCCCCATCTTTCCTCCACTCAGTTCATTTCAGTGCCCTCCAGAGCTTGACTTTGTCTTTAAGAAGAGTCTTCCTCCCTTCTTGTGTCTCCTCCAGACGTTGTGTGATGAAGAAAATTACTAGCCACTCTAAGAAATATACATACTCTAAGAAATAAGTTTATTAATGCATGTTGTATCTAGATGAAATGGTCATTTTTTTAACTTTGTGTTTGTTTTGCTATCATTTTGCTTCTGAGTGACTTCTATGATTTTTTTTTAATATACCATCATTTAGTCCTCACAGCAATCCCATGAAGTTCAAATTATAATCCCTATTAAGTAGATGAGAAAAATGTCACTCAGAAAAACAGCTAAGGTGCGGAGCCTTGGGCGGGCGGAGGCCGGGAGGCCCAGGCACTGCCTCGGGACTCGGGGCTCAGGGCGCAACCGAGCGGCTGCAGGGCTAGGGCGGGCTAGACGAGTTAGCAGGGGACCGGGCGCCGCGGGTTCAAGGCCGGGCGCCGCGCAGGGAGGCCGCGCCACCCCGGGGCAGCCGCCCGGCGGCGAGTTTGCTCCGCATCTGAAATAAGGCTGGAGCCGGCGGGGGCCCTCAGAACCCTCTGGCAACCGGGGCCCGGAGTCTTCGGGGAGAAGCTGCTTCCTGGGACTCCCTCCTGGACGTCCCCGCCGAAGGGTGACGGTTCAGGTCCCCCGGCAGAAGGCGCCTCAGGGAGATTCCCGGCGGGGCCCTGCAAGCCGTGGGAGACCACCCCCGGGACGCGAGCAGGGAGAAAGGGGCTCAGTGGAGACGCGGGCCGGGAACCGAAGGAGCCGGAGCGCGGCGGCGCGGGGCCGGGCCTCCCGCGAGCGGGGCTGGGCAGCGCCTTGGCTGGAGACGGGCTCTGGGACCCTCTTGTGCGGGGGCCTCGGCGACCTGCCCCGCGGGGAGCACGGCTACGGAGTGGCTTAGGATACCTTCCCCCAGAGAGGCCCGCCGGGACGAGGAGATGAACGGCTTTAGCACCGAGAAGAACTGCCGCGAAAGGTCCCCAGCCGCCCCCGCCGCCTCCGCCGCCGCCCCGGGCCACGGCCTGAGCTGCCTCCTCATCGAGGAGGGCAACGCCTCCTTCAGGGAGAGTCCAGAAGAGCATCTCACAGAAGAAACAAGCTGGACATCGACCAGAGCGTAAGGCACCTGTATATTTGCGATTTCCACAAGAATTTCATCCAGAGTGTATGAATAAAAGGCAGAGGAAGACAGGTGACGATGGCAAAGATTCTCCTGAGCACGACACAGACATTCCTGAGGCTGATCTGTTCAGCTGCAGGTGAACACTCTCTGACGTTATAAACACACTTTGCAGACCAGATTAGGCTTCAAAAAGGCCCAGTCAGCAGAAACTGTCAGCCAACACTTCAGGAACATACCTGTGAATGAAAAGGAGACCCTCACTTTCTTCATCTACATGGTGAAGAGTAACAAGAGTAGACTGGACCAGAAGTCAGAGCGTGACAAGCAGCTTGAGTGATGATGAGCACACCTTCAGGGAATGAAGTATAATGCTTAATACACAGCCGACATCTGCTCCATTTAAGTCCATAATGACTGCTTAATTTTACTGTAAATAAAAAAGTTTAAAAGATGAAAAAAAGAAAAACAGCTAATATATAAGTAAACCTGTGCTGTAAGACAAGTCCTATTACTCCAATATGTTGTAGAGAAAAACATCTTTCTACTTAGAAATGTTCCTGGGATTTTTACCCGAGATCCCAATATCAACTTGTTACTGACCACACTCTTCATCCATCCCCACATGGGACTTCCCATCAGAGACAGTGGGCAGATAACAACCAAGGCCTTTCCTCGGACATCCTAGAATCTGCTTCCTCCCACCCAACACCTCATTTTCTCTTCCTGCTTTTAAAATTCATTCATTCACAGTTCTTTTCTTAGATATAAGCTCCAAAATAACACAAACTTCTTTTGTTTACTGGAGTATGATGTCTGACACATAGTAGGAAATCACTCAATATTTGTGGGATGAATATACATCTCCTGCTTGTCAGTTCACTTCCTTCCGATTTCACAGGCAATGAATATTCTTTCACCCAAACATCTAAAGAATCTGAAATGGGAGGATTCCCTAGCGATCCAGTGGTTAGAACTCCATACTTTCACTCCAAGGACCCAGGTTTGATCCCTGGTTGGGAACTAAATCCCATAAGATGACCCGCCCCCCTAAAAAAAAGGATCTGAAATGGTTCCTCTACCAGAAAACCTCCGTGGCTGGAGAAGGTGGAGACAGCTTGCTTTGATTACACATAATATCAAATTAAAACTCCCATAGAATCCTTCCCTGACTTTTTTGCCATGAACTGTGAATGAAGGCACTGTCAATCCCCTGTCAGGGGATTGTCAAAGCCCCATTACTGTCTTTGTTTTATCCTCCTCTTCCATCTATCTTCCATCTATCTGCTGGTCTCATCTGCTGTCTAAACAAGGTGGTAATATGCCCTCAGCTCCCGGGCAAACTGGCACGGTCCTAAGTGTAGGAATTTCTTCGATCATTCCACTTGTCTGGCATGCAGCACTGATGAGAAGAACCAACTGAAGTTCCTTGGGTGGATAAGTTAACATATCATCCGGATGTGTTAGTCCAGATGATACTGGACAATGAGATTTACAGTGACAGTGAATCGCATTTTATTTGTCCTCCCAACTAAGTTCTGTTCATCAAGTCTTTCTTCTCACACTCCCTGCCCTGCCCAGTCGTCCCAGTTACTCAGGACTTCTCTCCAGGAAGCAAGGTCTTGAGCTGAACAGGTTTTTAGCCCCATCTGTGCCTCAGAGGAGGAGTTCCCTCCACCGTGACAATTTGATCCCCTTGAACTGTACAACTTCCTGCTCCTCCCCAGGCCCTGCCTAAGGGGACCACGTCATTTTCCATTCTTATGCATCTCCTGGCCTCTACAGACCTCTTCTCTGAGTTCAGATATTCTGTTACCTGCCCATAGCCGGAAGAACAACAGGTCACATACCCAGCCCCTGCCCAGCCCCGATGATACTATAAAGACCTTCTTCGAAAGAGAAAGTAAGAGGTGACATTCTGTGGAGGGATCCTAAGGGACCAGGCATCCAGTCTGCAGCCCCAGGTGCCCCCTACTGGTGTATTTCCTTAGGTTGAGGACCCATTCTTTGGAGACCTGAACTCCCAGAACTCCAGCCTCAGATCTCCACCTTGAGATTCTTCAGAAAGAAAAATCTCAGAATTTCTTCTTTCCATTCTAGGCCTAATCACATCTGGGACTCAGGAAACCTCCTTTCCAGGCGTGGCAGTCAGAGTATCTCAAGATGAAGGAAAAAGTTTTTTCCCTTGAATACTGGCTGTTGTTTCATCTTCTACTACTTTTAGGAAATGGTGAGTGATATAATCTTGAAGTCTGAATAGGGTTTGGGGAAAATGTTGTCCAGTCCTGGCATGCACACTCTGCCTGTTAGCTCCCATTCTCATTAAAGAAGTAAGGACAGATATTTTGCTTTATTCTCTTCCATCCAACCTAGCCTTTGCTCTCTATTCTGTTCCCAGTAACAACTCTTCTGCCCAGAAGTCTGGCCTATTTCCTCTGTAATAAGTCAACCCTAAGGACAGATGCATTGGAGTTGGAAGATATTTTAATGTCTGACCACCTGCAGTAGGCAGGAACCTGTTTCCAACATCCCTGACAGTGGTCACCTAGTCTCTAATTAAGCTTGTAAGTGTTCCACACTCACACAGATTGAATTCTTTCTAGAATTTGCCCCATCATGACTTTGACTCATCTTTTTATGCCCCTGAACAAAACAAATCTATTCCCTCTCCATAGGCCAACTTCATCTCAATTTCTCACTTAGTTTTTTTTTCTCTCTCTCCCTCTCTCTTTCTCTCTTTTGCATTTGCAGGATTTTAGTTCCCTGACCACAGATTGAACCCACGCCCTTGGCACTGAAAGCACAGAGTCCTAAGCACTGGATTGCCAGGAAATTCCTCTTTTTTCTCTTGACCCTGATCATAACCCTAATCAGAGGCATTAACAAGGGATTTTTGGACTCTTCCTCTAAATATAAATTTGTGATATTTATGTTAGTCCAGATGATACTATGGAAGGAATAAGTAAGGGGAAGAAAACCACATCTCAGCAGGAGAACAGAGCCAGCTGGGAGGCCAAGAGCTAGGTTGTTGTTGAAATGGAAAATCAGAACAGGGTAGGAAAGAGACGTGAAGTAGAGGGGAAAAGCACAAGCCTCATCTTAATGCTCACTCACTAAGTAAGGACGTTGGGTCCCTTCCCAGAATCCTGGGAGATCTTATCATTTTGGGCTACCCGCAGCAAGTTCTCTGCCAGGCCAAGCGTCAAGGTCACTTGGGGTCCCATACCTGGCAGCTCCCAAACTTTTGTGTGCATTAGAATTACTTGATAGTAGTGAAAATACACACTATTGCCTCTCCCAAACCTCCCCTTGATTATTTCTCCCCTGGAAGACAGGTACAATTCTGTTTGGAGAGTAGCTCAATATATACACGTGTATATACACATGGACCCTTCAACTAGCTCTTTTATGTTCTTTATCTGAAGAGCATCATGAATAGTTAGAGAAGGAATAATACCTGTGACCCCAGGTCATGTGACTTCCCAGGTCATGTGACCTAGGATGTAGAATACACAGGTTAAGGGCTGGAGCTAGTGTCAGTCAGCCTTGGTTTAAATTCCTGCTCCATGACCTGCTAGCTGTCTAACCTGGGACCAGGTTTAACTTCTCTAAACTTCAATTTCTCTATCTATAAAATGGGAGTGTTAAAAAGTTCCTATCTCATGGAGGTATTGTGAGTATTTGAAGTACTAATTCATATGTCGCACTTAGCACAACACCTGGAGCAGAGTCATTATTCAATAAACGATAGTTGTTATTGCCATGGACTGTGTGACTGAGCCAGAGAAGGCAATGGCACCCCACTCCAGTATTCTTGCCTGGAAAATCCCATGGATGGAGGAGCCTGGTAGGCTGCAGTCCATGGGGTCACTAAGAGTCGGACACGACTGAGCGACTTCACTTTCACTTTTCACTTTCATGCACTGGAGAAGGAAATGGCAACCCATTCCAGTGTTCTTGCCTGGAGAATCCCAGGGACGGGGGAGCCTGGTGGGCTGCTGTCTATGGGGTCGCACAGAGTCGGACACGACTGAAGTGACTTAGCAGCAGCAGCAGTGTGACTGAGCACGTGTACGTGTGCACGCGCGTACACACACACACACACACACACATCATTGCCATTGGTGGTAGTAGTAGTTGCAGAATCAAACAAAACTTCCAATGGAACTAACCAGCCATCCTTTATTAATAAGCTGTAACTTCTACTGCTAACACTACAACCACCTCCCTTGGATCGACCACACTATCCAGTGGAACTGACACAACCATCTCCAGTGTCACCAGCTCAAGTACTGCTCCACCAAGGGAAGAGGAAAACCCTAGCGGACACCTGAGGCCGGGTGAGGTCGTCCTGGTTACTCTGGCCTCGGTTGCGATGGCCGTGATTCTCCTCACTGGGCTTCTCTTCTATTTCGTGAGTGTCTGATGTGCAAGAAACCCCTTTCTTTCTGAGGGAAAGACAGCAGGGAAGTCAGGGAGGAACTAGGCAAGAGACAGCAGGGTGACTGCAGGGGTAACGGGATAAGAAAATCAGGAAAGACAGAAACAGCAGGTTAGAGTCAGCAAGAGAGGGTCAAAAAGCCAAGACTTTCAGAGGAAAGTGATGAGGGGAAGATGGGAGCCAAAGAAATATGAGGAAGGGGCGAGTGCTGGAGGAGGGGGACAAGACTCTGAAACTACTCAGCTTCTTGTCTTCTAGAGAAACTCTCCAAGCCTAAGAAACCTCTTCAATGTCGATCTTCTGCCACTCCCACTGCTATGCCCTCACGGCTGTTATGAAGTCCCAGAAGGGTCCAGGGCGACTGGAACTGACTTCAGAGGAGAGCTGTCTTCTCCGGCAGCCAGAGAGCTGACTGGGAGACAAGCGTGGCCCTGAGTGTCCCTGAAGGCAGAAGCACCACAGTCCTCGGGGGCAGAGAGGCTGCTGACCTGGATCAAGAGGTTAAGTGCCCCCCGTTCCTG